AAAAGGAAAATAAAGATCAAGTCATTTATTATGTTCCTTGTTCCTTCTTCCAGGCCCATCAGCTCAGTACTGTTGGGGTAAGTAAAACTTATCTCTTTCAAAATTTTGTATTTCTGTCTTCAAATTAATACTTGTGCTGTTTCACTGCATCACCCTCAAATATTTGTTATAATTTTCACCTAAAGGATTTTATATTCATTCTATTGAATTCAGGAAATACTTCCGTTTTTGGCACCTCAAAGTCCTCTGTTATTCTGGGCAACATTAATACCCATGTAAACACCTCTCTTTTCAGCTCTTTGACCACCTTCAATTTCATCAAGGTTAATTTGGATTTCACTTGAGCTATTCCTTTCCATGGTCACACTCTGCTTTTGTCACTAGTCAGAAGTGCTTTAACTTAAGAAAATAAAATTGAATTATTCCAGTCTCTGATATTTCTAGCTTTTTCACTCTTTCACCTGGCTTTCATATCTGTCCTTTGATCTCCTAAGTATTAACTGCTTTACATATCAGTCCCCTTTCCTAACTATGCTTTCTTCTCTCTCCAATTTAGATAATGTGGTTCATAATTTTAAGCACTCTCTTGTCAGTAACCTCGATTATTTTTACCTTTTGTCCTCCAAACCAACCTGAAGCCAAAATACAATTACAGATCCAGACAATTCTCCTTTCTTCATTTGTTCATGACTACTGAGGGTTACTAGAAAACAAATTAACAGATTCAAAATTTTCTGCTTCTGCCAAGATAAAATAAAAAGGAATAGATTTATCCTTTTGATTGAGGCAATCAAAATAAACCAGACAAAATATATAAAACAACAATTTTCAAGAAACTGAGTATCAGACAATTAAGGGCAATAATCTCAAAGAGTTAGAAAACAAAGTAGGCCTTACAGCTGCTCCAACACTGCCTTAAGAGAATTTCCAGGCTATAGTCTAATGAGGGTGAATTAAGGCAGAGACAAACAGACTCCATGCCTTGAGAAAATGGAGCCCATGGGCTGGGTAAACTAAGGCAGCTTGGATTATAGAACAGAATAATACAGGAAAGAGCTGAGTAGAGAGAGGTCAGCAATATGTAGAGGGTTCCCTTTCAGTATTATGTGGAGTATGGATCAGGGCATGCTTTATGGGACAACCTGAGGACAGGAAAAAAGCCATCTGAAAAGATTTGGAAGATTAGCACTGGTGCTGACACAGGAGGGAGAAAAGTGCTTATTCCCATAAGCCAGACTGGGAAACCATGTAATTCATAAAATATTGAGTTGAATTCTCAGGAAGGTCATACTTCAGTCATGGGGAATAATTGTTGTAGATTGAACAACTGCAGATCTAATAAACCTTAAAGGAAAAACCTGAAAGAATTAAATAGCTTTAAACTTTCTTTCAGAACAAAGCTCAAAAAGATATGAATAAATATAAAATTATCCATTAATGATTAGAATCTAATCAAAGATTGCCATGCAGGAAAAGAAGCAGAAAAACATGACCAAAAATCAATTAATAATTGACCTCAGAGTAGACATGAATGATAGAATTATCATTGAAGGACATTAAAACAACTAGTTTAATATTCCGTCTGTTTGAAAAGTTAAATAGAGACATGAAAGACAAAAAAAGACTTAAAATAAATTTCTGGGACTGAAAACTATGAGACAAAAAATACACTGAAAGGGTTTGACATCATATTGAACACTATAAAAAGAAATTATTTGTGAACTTTAAAACTATCAAAATAAAAACATGAGAGAAAATATATTTTTTAAGTGAAAAGAATATCAATATCAGAAAAGACATTTTAATTTTAAGGTAGAGTTGCTGAAAACTTCCCAAACTTGACTGTAAGGAAGAGAGAGAGAGAGAGAGAGAGAGAGAGAGAGAGAGAGAGAGAGAGACTAGTAGCTAAAGAAACTGAAGTATAAAAAATATGCAGAAAATTACACCAAGATGTATCATAATCAAATTACTCAAAAGTACTAAAAAAGGAAAAATCTTAAAATCAGAGGAAAAAAATAAATGTTTATGTGCTAGGGAACAAAGATAAGGATGATGCTAGATTTCTTGGGCAACATTTTTTTTTGGGGGGGAAGCAGGGATTGAAAACAGGGGTGCTTAACCACTGAACCACATCTCCTGCCCTTTTTATATTTTATTTAGAGACAGGTTCTCACTAAGTTGCTTAGGGCCTTGCTAAATTGCTGAGGCTGGCTTTGAAGTTGCAATCCTCCTGCCTCAGCCTCCTGATTACAGGTATGTGCCCTTGAACCTCACTAGGGCAACATTTTTTAAGTATTTTTTTTTAATTATCAGTCTGGAAATCTACCTCTAGTACAACTGTAGGAGTTGGCTTTTCATTGCTGAGACCAAAATACACAACAAAAACAACTTGGAGAAGAAGGTTATTTTGGGCTTATGGGTTGAGAGATTCTTTCAATTGACTCTTATTGTTCTGGGCCAAGGGTAACTCAGGACATCATGACAGAAAGGCATTGTGGAGAAAAGCTACTCAGCTCCTGACAGCCAGGAAGGAGAGGAGAGGAGAGGAGAGGAGAGGAGAGGAGAGGCGAGAAGGAAAGAAAGAAAAAAGGAGAGAGAGGAGACGAGGGGAGGGGAGAGTAGGGGAATGAAGGGAGGGGGAAGGGGAAGAAGACTGTGTGTGCAAGAGAAAATGCAAGGAGCCAGAAACAAAATAATCCTGAAGGATACACACCCAGTGACCTATTTCCTCCAGTCATACTCTACCTGCCTGTCATTACCATACAGTAGTTCTTTCAAATTATTACCAATCAAATGGATTAATCCACTGTGAGGTTACTGTGCTTGTAATCTAATCACTTTACCTCTGAACATTTCTGCACAGCTCAACACATCATCTTTTGGGGGGACGCCTTGTATTCAAAACATAACAACAATAATTTTCAAAGATGAAAGCAAAACCAAAGACTTTTTAGGTATAAAAAGCAGAAATAACTAGCTACTAGTGTAGCCAAAGTATAAGAAATGTTAAAGAAAGTCCCTTAGGGAGAAGAAAAATAATACCAAATTAAAAACTGGGTCTACAGAGAGGAATAAAGAGTACTACAAAAGTAACTACTAAGGTAAATACATAGTTTTTTTTATATTAAAAACTTCTAAAAAGTTAGTTCTTTAATCAGAATAACAACAATGTTTTGTGGTGTTTATTACATATACAAAAGTAAAATTGGGCTGGGGATGTGGTTCAAGTGGTAGCGTGCTCACCTGGCATGCATGGGGCTCTGGGTTCGATCCTCAGCGCCCTGTGCATGCCAGGTGAGTGCACTACCGCTAAAAAAAAATCTCTCTCTCTCTCTCTCTCTCTCTCTCTCTCTCAAAAAAAAGTAAAATTATCTCTGTTCACACTTGATATAATTCATATGTTGAAATTCTAAAGATTCCATTAAAAATCTATTAGAATAAACACAATTCTCAACATAGCTGGCTATAAAGTCACCACAAAAATTAGTTGCACTTCAAAACATACTACAAAACTACAAAAGTATAATTAGAATTAACTAAAGAAGTTATACAAAGACTTACATAATGAAAACAACAAAACATTACTGAAAGAAACCTGAGATGATAATAAATAGAAACACATTCCATGTTCATGGATTAGAAGACTTAATATTGTTAAAGTGTCATTATTATCCAAAGTGATCTACAGATTCAATGCAATTCCTATTAAAATCCAAAAGCATTTTTTGTAGAAACAGAAAAATTCATTCTAAAATCCATATGGAATCTCAAAGGACCCCCAAAAGCCAAAACAATTCTAAGAAAGAACAAAAAAGCAAGAGGACTTCAAAACATACTACAAAACTACAATAACCCAAACAGTATGGTGCTGGCATAAAGACAGACATATAGACATGCCTGTAATTGCAGTAACTAGGGAGACTGAGGCAGGAGGATTGCAAGTTTGAGACCAGTCTAAGCAACTTAGTGAGACTCTGCTCAAAATAAAAAGAGCTCAGTATGCAGGTGAATCACAAAGAGCCCGTGGGTTCAATCTCCAATACATCCCCCTCAAAAAAAGATAAACACACAGACCTATGAAATAGGGAAGACTGGAAATAAACCTTGCATTTATGTTTGAGTGATGTTTGTTTGTTTCTTGGTTTGTTGGTTTGTTTTGGTACTGGGGAGTGAACCCAGGGGCACTGGGGAATGAACCCACTAAGCCACATTCTCCAGATCTTTTTTATTCTAAGACACAGTCTTGCTAAATTGCTGAAGGCCTTGCTAAGTTGCTGAGGCTATCTTTGAAACTGAGGGTTCTCCTACCTCAGCTTCCTGAGTCAGGGGGATTACAGGTGTGCACCACCACACCCAACTGTTTGAATGAATTTTTAATAGACCTTTATTTTATTTTATATGTGATCCTGAGAATTGAACCCAGGGCCACACATGTCCTAGGCAGGTGCTCTACCACTGATTCACATCTCCAGCCCTGTTTGAATGATTTTTGACAAGGGTACCAAGTCTACTCAATGGGAAAAAATAATCTCTTCATAAACAGCTAGTAAAATTGAATATCTATATGTAAAAAATTAAGTCAGACTAACATCATACACAAAAATTAATTCAAATAGATCAAATACTTAAATGTAAGTCTTAAAACAACAAAACTGAAGAAACAAGGAAAAGACTTTATGACATTTGATTTAGCAACGATTTCCTGCATATGACACCAAAGGTACAAACTACAAAAGAAAAAATAAACAAAATAGACTTTAAGAAATTTAAAAACTTTTGCTCATCAAAAGATTCTGTCAGAAAAATAAAAAGGAAACACACAGAACTGAAGAAATGTTCGGAAAACTGATAAGAGGTTCTTTCTTCTTTTGACACATGTAAATGATGTTACCCTTAACTGAATTAAAAGATTCCTCCAAGTAACTCATATACAAAATATCTCATATACAAAATAGAACAATAATTTTTCCAGTAATTGCAGAAAAAATTGAAAATGTTACCTCATTTGAAGAATTTTCTGGCAAATTTGACACAGGAACAATTTCATCTGAGTTTACATAATTGCTGATATTTGGAAAGAGTTCTTCAAAAGGTGCCTTTTGTACTGAAGACAAATTAATCTATAAAAGATTATGTTACTGTTTCAGAGAGGTTTCAAAAACAATTATTTCTAAGCAATTAAAATAAAGTTATAAATACTATCTTATTGGAAGCATTTTCTTATGAACTTGACAAATGAACAATTTTATCTGAATGAATATAATTACCAACTTTTGGCATGCTTAAGATTATGTTACTCTTTTGATTTAAACTTATTTTCAAACAAGAATTTTTATTTGCTGTACTATACTTTTCCCCATTAATTTGTTCAATAAATATTCATCAAATGCTTACTAAGTAAAATTTGATGACCTGGCAACTGTACCTTCTGGACACTTCTACTCCTAGGTATATATACCAAAGAGAAATAAAAAGATGTCCACACAAAAGCTTTTACACAAGTATTTATAAAAACATTATTTATAATAGTCATAGATGGAAACAACTAAAGCTTCCATTAACACAATTTCTATCAACACAATGGAATATTACTCAGTCAGGAAAAGGAATGATGTACTGAAACAAGCCGGTATATGGATGAAACCTAAAAATACTATGCTAAGTGAATTAGTCACAAAAGATAATATATTATATAATTCCATTTATGTGAAATGTCCAGAACAAGAAAACCTACAAATACAGAGGGCAGAGAAATGGTGTGGGAAAGCAAGGGGATGTTACGTAAAGGAAATGAGGTGTCTTTTTTGAGGTGATAAAAAAATGTTCTAAAAGTGATTGTGGGAATGATAGCACATATCTATACATATACTAAAATCTACTGAATAACAAATTTTAAAAAAATATTTATTTTTTAGTTATAGGTGCATACCATATCTTTATTTTATATTTATGTGGTGCTGAGGATCGAACCCAGTGCCTTACTACACACACTAGGCGAGCGCTCTACCTCTGAGCCACAATCCCAGCCCTGAATACCACATTTTAAATAAGTGAATTGTAGTTTGTTCATTATTGCTCAAACTGATTTTCTTAAATATTTTTAAGCTGTAGTTGGACATAATACCTTTATTTATTTATTTATTTATTTTTTAATGTGGTGCTGAGGATCAAACCCAGTGCCTCGAATGTGATAGGCAAGCACTCTGCTGCTGAGATACAACCCTAGCCCCTGCTCAAATTTTTTTAAAGAGCCCACTAAAAAAAGTGTTAAACATACAGTTATCATATTAGCTAGCAATTCTATGACTTCCAGATATACACTCAACACAAATGAAAACATATACTCATAAAACATACATAAATGTTCATAACAGTATTATTCATGATAGATAATAAGTTAAAATAACCCAAATGCCCATAGACTAAATCAGTAAACAAAATGTGGTATATATCCAGAGACTGTGATATTATTTGATGAAAGAAAAGGAATGAAGTACTGAAAAATGCCATAATATAGATGAATTTTAAAATATTATGCCAAGTAAAAGTGGCCAGGCACAAAAGGCCACATTTTCCACGACTCTATGAATTAATATCTAGAAAGGGCAAATGTATAAAAGACAGTAAATTAGAAGCTTCTAGACAGTCCCTAGCAGCTAAAGGGAAAGATGGGGGTATAAGGAGTAACTGCTAAAATGTGGTAATAAAATGAATTACATTGAATTATATTATAGGGATGGTTGTATCACAACTATGCTTAAAAACACAATTATATACATTATAGCATGGTAAATTTCATAAAATGTGAATTATAGTTTTTAAAGATTTTGGCATTTATAAAATTGACACTAACTTAGTTTTATAAGGAAAATTCATTTTGGGTACATTTATTCCTCATCTACACATTCTCTCTCTCCCTCCCCCTGTTCCTCTCTCTCTCTCTTTCTCGTTGATACTGGGGATCTAACCCAGGTGTACTTTACCACTAAGCTGTATTCCCAGCCCTTTTAAAAATTTTTTTTTTATTTTGAGACAGGGTCTCACTAAGTTGCTGAGGCTGGCCTTGAACTTTGCAATCCTTCTTTCTCAGCTTCCCAAGTCACTAGGATTACAGGAGTGGGCCACCATGCCTGGCTCACATACACATTTTTTTAAAAAAGTTGTAGATGGATACAATACCTTTATTTTATTTATTTATTTTTATGTGGTGTTGAGGATCTCACCCAGTGCTTCACACATGGTAGGCAAGTACTCTATCACTGAATATCAACCAAGAATAAATTTTAAAAATAAAACACTCATTTTTTGAAAAACAAATTACTTTTTAGAACATTAGAAAAACTGTGAGCAGAGTATTATCAAAACCCTTTCCTCCAGCATGATCTTTAACTGTGTTCCCCTAGGAGCCTGTTAAGAGTAAGAATGTCAACTCTGTTACTAGGCAGCATTACTTATGGTAAAAATGATATCTGATCATGAACTTGTATGTCTGGAACAAACTATAGATGCAGTACGAATAATAAATACTATAAAAGATGCCATGGGTTTTTCAGGGAGCTGTAACTCGTATAATTAGGCATGTCTCTGAGGAGAACTGAGAAGCTACCTATGTATTTTGTTATAAAAGATACTGTCTCATTCCCTTGACCAGAGCTGTCCCCATACTGCTATATAAGCCGCTACATCAAATTTTTGGTGGTTATTTTAGTATTGAAGATTGAACTCAGGGGCACTCAACCACTGAGCCACATCCCCAGCCTTTGTTTTTCTTTGTATTTTATTTAGAGACAGGGTCTCACTGAGTTACTTAGTGCCTTGCTAAGTTGCTAAGGCTGGCTTTGAACTTGCAATCCTCCTGCCTTAGCTTCCCAAGCCACTGGGATTAAAGATGTACGCCACCGCTCCCAGCTTTACACAGACTTTTGTTAGGACTGCTACCATTGTGGAGAAACACCTGCTGCTGCCCTGCTAGCAAGTTGTATTTCTATTGCTCAGTTGTACCTAAGAAGAATAGATTAGGTAATAGCTAAATTTATAAAACTGTTAGAGGCAAACATAGGATAAAGACTTCATGACATTAAATTTGGTAATTTTTCCAATAGAACACCCAAAGCACAGGCCAACAAAGGACAAAGTTGATTAATTGGACTACATCAAAATGAAAAACATTTGTGCCTCAAAGAACACTACCAACAGAATAAAAAGGCAACTCATGCAATGAGAAAAATATTTTCAAACCATATATCCAATAATGGGTAAAATCCAAAATATACAAAGAATTCCTACAACTGAACAATGAACAACCTGATTTAAAAATGAACAAAGGATTTGCTTCTGTTTTATTTTTTAAATTTTTTGTAGTTGTAGATGGACAGCATGCCTTTATTGTATTTGTTTTATGTGGTGCTAAGGATCAAACCCAGTGTTTCACACGTGGTAGGCAAACACTCTGCCACTGAGCCACAATCCCAGCCCATGACAAGAGAGTTGAACAGATATTTCTTCAAAGAAGATATACAAATGATCAATAAACAAATTAAAAGATGCTAAATATTAATAATCTTTAGGAAAATGCAAATCCAAAGCAGAATGAAATTCTCTCTCATACCCATAAGGTTAGCTATTATAAAACACACACACATATACACGCACACACAGCAGGAAAAAAGAAGTGTTGGTAGGAATGTGGAGAAATTAGAACCCTTGTGTACCAGTAATGGAATTGTAAAATAATACAGACATATGGAAAACAGTGTGGTTGATACTCAAAATATTAAAAATCAAATTACTACAAAATCCAGAAATATTCCTTCTGAACAGGTACCCAAATGGGACTCAAATGGATATATGTACATTCATGTTCATAGTAGAATTATTGACAATAGTCAAAGGCAGAAGCAAAACAAGTGTTCATTGATGCATGAATGGATAAACAAAATGTGATATGTATATACAATGGAATATTACTCAGCTTTAAGTAGGGAAAAATTTCTGACATATTCTACCACACAGGTGAACCTGAAGACATTATGCTAAGTAAAATAAATCAGTCACATAAGGACAAATACTGATGGGTACAGTGGCACATGCCTATAGTTCTATAGAGTTGAGGTAGAAGGATCACCTGAGCCTAGAAGTTTGAGGCCAGCCTGGGCAACATAGCAAGATCCCATCTCCAAAATCAAACAAAAGAACAAATAGTTTATGAATCCTATATGAGGTACTAGAGTAGTCAAGTTTATATAGACAAAAGGTAGAATGGTGGTTGCCAGGGGCCAAGCAAGAAACAGGGAATTACTGTGTAATTGGTATGAAGTTTCAGTTTTGCAAGATGAAAAAGGTTCTAGAGATGGATGGTGGCAATGACTGTACAACAATGTGAACTTACTTGAATTGTTTATTTACTCATTCTTATCAGCTCAATTCACAATAGCTAAGCTATGAAACCAACCTAGGTGCCCTTCAGCAGATAAATGAATAAAGAAAATGTGGTACATATATACAATGGAATATTACTCAGTCATAAAGTATGATATTATGGCAATTGCCGGTAAATGGGTGGAACTAGAGACAATCATGTTAAGTGAAATAAGCCAATCCCAAAAACCCAAAACCACCATTCTACCTTTTGATATGCAGATGCTAACTCTCAACAGGTGGGGAGGTTCACTGGATTGGACAGGGGGGTGTAGGGAGAAGGGATGGGGAATGGGAAAGGGAAAGATAGTAGAATGAATTGAACATTACATTCCTATGTTCATACATGAATACACAACCTTTGTAAATCCATATCATGTATAACCACAAAAATGTGAAGTTGTACTTCATGTATATATGATATATCAAAATACATTCTACTGTCATGTATAGCTAAAAAGAATTAAAAAATTAATAAAGTAAATCATGCTTAAAATTCTAAATTTTATGTTACATATAGTTTACAATAGAAAGTATAATTCTGGTTGATACTATAGCATTCTAAGCTTTCTCCTTTACTTATATAAGCAGGATATACAGCATTTTCAATGAAACCATGTTTTGCAACAGAATAATATAGACATTATTCTCTATAGGTAATATTCCTCTGGTGTGACAAAATAGAAGAATGGGGAGAGGAGGAGCCAGAAAATTGATTCCACAAGTGCCAAAAGCTAATACTTACCATGAAATTAGCTGTCTCTGAAGATGGAGTACTTGTTAACAGGCCTCTGCTTTTCTTATCAGGAGTACTTGAATTTGTTTTCTATAAATGTTTATAAAATAGGGGATTGAATAGTAAAAAAAAAAAAACCAAACCATTTTAGTATAGTAAAATCAAAATTTAAAGTTAGTAGACTAGATCATAATGTGTAATACCAATAAAATCTTTTATTTGCTAATTAAATTTTAAACCATTTGAAGGAAACAAAAGAATTTTCTGGCTTGAGCTAGGTTGTTCAATTTCCAAGAGAACTCTATATGGCATGACAACCATATGGGAATACTTTAGTTGGAATTACTATCAATTTAGGAAGAGAAGCTAATTAGAGCGGTGAATTAGTAAACAGTGCTTTGGTTACCTTTGTTAACTGCTGAAAAAGTATTTCACTTTCAGTGAAATTTGTTTAATTTCTAGTATATTATTATATTTTTTGTGAAAAAATATTATAAATTATTCCTGAAACTGTTAAAACATTTAAGTAGTAGCAAGGATAATTGGTTTAAAATATACGTTTAAATGTAAATAGATACTTTCATTGATAGAACAAAGTTAAAAAAATTACAAAATAATATGCAGATTCATTTTCTATTTCTTAAAGATGCAGAGGCAGACAGACAGGTGAACCAAGTAAAAAAGTCTAAAAGAGCAAGGAGAGAAAGGAAGACATTAAGATTCAAGAGCTAAAGAGAGTGAGAAGAGGAGGGAGGACCTGAGAATAAGAGAGGGAGGAGAAGAGGGGAGTGGTGAGAGGGAAGGAAGAGAGGAAAGAAGGAGGAAATGGAAAAGACAGAAAGATTGAAAGAAAGAACGAGGGAAAGAGAAGAGACAGACACCAACAGACTGGGATCAGAAAGAGACTAAGAGACAGCCCCAGGAGGAGGGCAGCAGGGAGAACACCTATACTATGGATAGGAAGGAGAGAGGGAGCTTGAAGCTGAAAGAACACAGGACATCAGACACAAAGAAGCAAGCATGAAGGCAGAGCTGAAACAGGAAGTTTTATTTCTAGCAATCAGCTGTTTTCCAACCCTCGAGTTCCAAGAAACAATCAAGTCCTGATAAATCATACTTTTGGGGTTTGTGACTATTATTTGATGTCAAGTCTGGAACCCAAACTCAAAGATAAAACTTGAAAATCATAAGATTTTGTGATAGAAAAGATAAGGAAAGAGAAACCTATCACAAAGAATGTTAGAAAAGATAAGGAAAGAGAAACCTAACATTCTTCTGTCTTAAAATCTCTTAAACTAGTTGTCAGTTCCAAACATAACCAAGAATAGAATATAGGGAAAGTTTTTATGAAAAAAATTTAACAGTATATTTACCTGGAGAATATGCCAGCTTTCTAATTTAGCAGCTATGTAATATTTAATTTCTTCATCTAAACAATGAAGATTACTCTGAGATTTGTGAACAAGTATCGTAAATAATATATGTAAAGAGAACTTGTGGGGTTTAGAGAGTAAGAGAGACTCAGTGATAGCTATCATCATCATTACAGCAAACTTGGAGGTGCTTTGCTCAGATCTCCTTGAACAAAGAACCTGCTGTTACAATGCAAGAAGTGCATTTGGCTGATATCCTCCAGCTGCAATATCTTAGGATCTATTTCACTTGCAAGCTGAGGCCCCCATTTTCTCTGGCCATCTCCAGCCAGTGTCTAGCAGCCAATATAGACTTTTGTAATGCAAAATCTTTGCTCCAGAATTCTTCATTGGGAGAGCTTTTATCACATTTGCATTGAGGACAAAGGCTATCACTGCCCAATCCTGATTCCTCCTGCTTTTTTTTCTTAGGTATTACCCTTGCCAATAAGCCACTTGAATGTTTAATTCTGTCTCAGTATCAGTTTCCCATTGGTCCCTATGACACAAATGTCAACTGTCAGTTCAATCTCAAAAATATCAGCCTGTATATAGCTGTAAGTATACAGCTTCCTTATATTTCTCCCTCAGTTTGTTTTAAAACCATGCATTTCTAAATCTTCACTATCAAATTTTTTCTTTTTTAGTCTTCTTAACAATTACGAATTAATAAAACATTAATAAACTCAACTCAAAGTGAAGCTAGGACCTAAGCATTAGATCAGAGACCCTGCACCCAACAGAAGAAAATGTAGGCACAAGTCTACATCATGTTGGCTTAGGAATTGACCTCCTTAAAAGGCTCTAAAGCGCGGAGTAAAATCAAGAATGAACAAAGGGGATAGAATCAAACTAAAAAGCTTCTTCATAGCAAAGGAAACAATCAAGTATGTGAAGAAAGGCCTCGGGTTGTGGCTCAGTGATGGAGCACTTGTCTGACACGTGTGAGGCACTGGGTGTGACCCTCAGCACCACATGGAGACAAATAAGTAGAATAAAGGTATTTTGTCCATCTACAATTAAAAAAAAAAAAGGTTGTGAAGAGAGACCCTACAGAATGGGAGAAAATCTTTGCCTCCTGCACCTCAGATACAGCATTAATCTCCAAGTTTTAAAAAGAACTCAAAAACTTAACACCAAAAAAACAAATAAATGGGCTAAGGAACTGAACAGATATTTCACAGAAAAATAAATATGATCCATCAACAAATATATGAAAAAATGTTCAACATCACCAGCAATTAGAGAAATACAAATTAAAACTATACTGAGATTTCATCTCACTCCAATCAGAATGGCAATGATCAAGAATACAAGTAGCAACCCGCTGGCGTGGTAGTCACATCACCCCAACTGGAGTAGGGCCAGAGCAGAGCCGCCACCTGCGCACGCAAGGTAGGCAGACCTGTGACCGACCAGCAGAACAGGCCCAGTGACCTGCCGGCGTGGCAGACACGTCACCCCAATTGGAGTAGGGGCAGAGCAGAGCCGCCGCCCGTGCCCGCAAGGTACGCAGACCTACGACTGACCGGCAGAACAGGCCCAGTGGCCTGCCGGCATGGTAGACACGTCACCCCAATTGGAGTAGGGGCAGAGCAGAGCCGCCGCCCGTCCCCAGAACAGGCCCAGCGACCCACCGGCATGGTAGTCACGTCACCCCAATTGGAGTAGGGGCCGAGCAGAGCCGCTGCCCGCAGCCAACAGGTCCAGCAACCCGATGGCGTGGTAGTCACGTCACCCCAATTGGAGTAGGGGCCGAGCAGAGCCGCCACCTGCGCCCGAAAGGTAGGCAGACCTGTGAGCAACCAGCGGAACAGGCCCAGTGGCCTGCCGGCGTGGCAGACACGTCACCCCCATTGGAGTAGGGGCAGAGCAGAGCCGCCGCCCGTGCCCGCAAGGTAGGAAGACCTGCGACTGACCGGCGGAACAGGCCCAGCGGCCTGCGGGCGTGGTAGTCATGTCACCCCAATTGGAGTAGGGACAGAGGAGAGCCGCCACCTGCGCCCACAAGGTAGGCTCCCTATTTACCTCTCTTATTGTTTCTTTTGCTGAGAAAAAACTTTTTAGTTTGAGTAAGTCCCATTTGTTGATTCTAGTTATTAACTCTTGTGCTGTGGGTGTCCTATTGAGGAATTTGGAGCCTGACCCCACAATATGTAGATCAGAGCCAACTTTTTCTTCTATCAGACGCAGAGTCTCTGATTTGATATCAAGCTCCTTGATCCATTTTGAGTTAACTTTTGTGCATGGCGAGAGAAGGGGGTTCAGTTTCATTTTGTTGCATATGGATTTCCAGTTTTCCCAACACCATTTGTTGAATATGCTATCCTTCCTCCATTGCATGCTTTTAGCCCCTTTATCAAATATAAGATAGTTGTAACTTTGTGGATTAGTCTGTGTCCTCTATTCTGTAACATTGGTCCACCCACCTGTTTTGGTACCAGTACCATGCTGTTTTTGTTACTATTGCTCTGTAATATAGTTTGAAATCTGGTATCGCTATACCGCCTGATTCACACTTCCTGCTTAGAGTTGCTTTTGCTATTCTGGGTCTTTTGTTTTTCCATATGAATTTCATGATTGCTTTCTCTATTTCTACAAGAAATGCCGTTGGGATTTTGATTGGCATTGCATTAAACCTATAGAGAACTTTTGGTAATATCGCCATTTTGATGATGTTAATTCTGCCTATCCAAGAACAGGGTATATTTTTCCATCTTCTAAGATCTTCTTCTATTTCTCTCTTTAGGGTTCTGTAGTTTTCATTGTATAAATTTTTCACCTCTTTTGTTAGGTTGATTCCCAAGTATTTTATTTTTTTTGAGGATATTGTGAATGGAGTGTTTTTCCTCATTTCCGTTTCAGAAGTTTTGTCGCTGATATACAGAAATGCCTTTGATTTATGCGTACTGATTTTATATCCTGCCAGTCTCATATCCTCTTTAAGATTCCATTCCATCTGTCTAAGGTATTCCTTGAGTTCTTTATTTGACCATATTTCTGATGCCTCTAGGTCCACCTGTATATTTAGGCTGTCCTGCATTGTTTGTACTCCTTTTCTTCCTTGCTTTTTCATGCTGCTCATGTTACTTCTTGTTCTGTTTGACTGCTGAGTTTCTGTTTACTCCTATAAATTTATTTGGTTTTGTGTGTCTGGGGTCTCTCTTTTATGATGGAGACTATGACTAGAGATGATGAGTTTTGTTGCACTTTAATGGAGATTCATTCGTTTCCTAAACTGTGTACAGATTCTGATGGCATATAGTGGTCTGCAGTTTGGTCTTGGGACTTATTTAGGTCGAATGATATGATGGTATTGAGGTTGGTATCTCTTGGCAACCTTGGAAGGTTGCTCTACTGACGAGGGATATTAACAGGAGAATGGTCTGGAGTATTTGGGAGTAGCTAGGGACTTGGTAGCACTATATAAGGCCTCGGAACATTGACTTATACATATTTAGTAAATTACACATAAACAGCGTCGTGATGGTTGGGAGGAAAGGTATTAGAAGGGGAGGGAAGAAGTCACTAAAGAGAATGAGAGTAAACAGGTAGAATTCAAGGAAAGGGAAATAAGGAAACTGAAAAGAAATGAAAAGACAAAAGAAAAAAATAGAAAGTAAAAAAAAGAAAAAATTTTTAAAAATAATTTAAAAAAATTTAAAAATTTTTTTAAAA